CTGCGAAACAGCACTGGCACAGTCATGCTTTTGTGTGTGTGTGTGTGGAATCATGTATAGCGAATATAACATCACACGCACACAGTCATGCTTTTTTTTTGTGGAATTGTGTACAGCGAAGATGACATCACGCGCACACAGCCATGCCTTCTTTTCCTGTGGAGTTGTGTATAGCGAACATTACATCACACACACACAGTCATGCTTTTGTGTGTGTGTGGAATCGTGTATAGCGAATATAACATCACACGCCACAGTCATGTTTTTTTTTGTGTGTGTGGAACTGTGTACAGCGAGCATGACCTCACACCCATGCCTTCTTTTCCTATGGAGTTGTGTACAGCGAACATGACATCACACGCACACAGTCATGCTTTTTTTATGTGTGGAATTGTATGTAGCGAACATGACATCACACGCCAACACAAAACATGCACAGCATTGCCTGTTGAAGAAATAACTCACCAACTGTCACCTTGTCACCAATGATAGTTGGTACCGCTTGGCTGCTAACATTGTTCTTAGCAACATGCACAATTGTGCCATCCTGGATGTTTGTCATGGAACCAACACTGATGCTGTTGACATCTCCTGCAAAGTCATCCACAAAAACACAGAGGTCACAAGACATCATAGTTGCGGTGCGTTGAGGTGCGCGCCTCCGCGCACGCGGCACGCACCCGATGCGGCGCACAGGAATAATTAGGGTCTCCCCCCCAAAATAAAATAAAAAATGGGGTTGCAGAGTTCCGTGTCCCCCCTGCCAGGCAAAAGTGACAACGAGGCCACGTCAAGTGCGAAATCGGCCCCACCCTGGCCCCAAACTTTTTTTGGGGGGGGAAATGTCTGCTGAATTCGAATTCAAATTTTGCAGCCCTTTCCCCCCAAAAAAATATTGGGGCAGGGGGGGGGCTGGTTTCGCACTTGACGCGGCCATGTTTGTGTGCAGCTAGGGGGCCTGTCGGTGGATGGACGACTGCGACGACGACAAACGACGACGAACAACGAAGGAGGGAGGAGGGCCACTTCTTCCGGGAAGGAGGGAGGACGACAACAAGGGGAGAAGGGACAACAACGACAAGGGAAGACGACGACGAACAACGACTAGGACGACGAAGGACAGAGAGGGACGTCACTGGAAGGAAGAGGAGGGTTGACAAAGGAGGAAGGAAGGACCAGGGAGGACGACGAYGAGGAGGGAAGAGGGAGGAAAGAGGAGGGAGGATGGAGGAGGGAGGGTCAAGAAAGCTAGAGCTGGAGGCAGCGGGAGGAGACAGCCTTCGGAGGGAGCGGCAGCGGCAGATGCAGCAGTCAGCGGCGGGAGGTAGCGGCAGGAGGCAGCAGCAGGAGGCAGCGGCAAGTGAGCAGCGGGCAATCATGACGGTGGGCACCGCCAGCTCTCTCTCTCTCTCTCTCTTCCTCCATATCTTCCTCGTCCTCCACTTCTCTCCCCATATCGTCCTCGTCCTCGTCCTCCTCCTCCTCCTCCTCCTCCTCCTCGTCTTCCTTCCTCCTCCTCTAACGTGAAGGGCCACTTCTTCCGGGAAGGAGGGAGGACGACAACAAGGGAGAAGGGACAACAACAACAAGGGAAGACGACGACGAACGACGACTAGGACGACGAAGGACAGAGGGACGTCATTGGAAGGAAGAGGAGGGTCGACAAAGGAGGAAGGAAGGACCAGGGAGGACGACAACGAGGAGAGAAGAGGGAGGAAAGAGGAGGGAGGAGGGAGGAGAGAGGGTAAAGAAAGCTAGAGCAGGAGGCAGCGGGAGGAGACAGCCTTCGGAGGGAGCGGCAGCGGCAGATGCAGCAGTCAGCGGCGGGAGG